AATATTTAAATCCTCCGTTTTTCCCGTTGATATCACTGCTGGTTTAGAATCGGAAGGCGTTAGTACAACCATGGTATCAGGTGCAATAACTGACGTTGTCTGATGGCTAGTTTCTTTCATTGGTAATGATGTCGCCGCACACGTAGTGGCATCCGAACTCACTTCACGAGGATGATTTTCGAAGAATTTAGATGAAAGGGTATGCGAATATCTTCCTCGACGAGGTTTAGAGTCAGAAGTGTATTTTGCGTAGTACGTGTCTATTGCTTTTTGAAGAAGTAATATGTTTCCATTAAGTTTCATAGAATTCAGGTGAGCCTATAGTAAAACAAGGTCAGATATTCGCTTCGCATATGACTTAATATAAATTGATAATTTAAAACCAAAAATAATACCAATTTCCAGCCTAATTCATTGCATGCCGACTCATATTCCCAGTTTGTTCCTTGATAGTTTGCCTTTGCAACAGCAGCTTTAGGATATACACAGTTATTTTTTTTAAAATCATCCGAGATTTCAGACAAATTTACACACTCAACATCAGCACGTATACGAATTTTGGTAGTCTCTTCTTTCATCGTATATTCTACTGTCAACTGTTTACTCGCACCGCGGGGTCGTTTGGCGGAAAGTTCAGATGAAGCATCACAAGAGTCGTTATCCCTGGTGACTCTCTTACGTAGTGTTCCATTCATAATCTTTTCATTCCGAACAACTCTCCGAGAACGTAATGAAGGATCACGATTTCGAAAGCTATCTACTGCTCTTTGAAGTAGTCCTCTTCGGCCGCTAATCTCTTCTTGGTTAAGCCAAGCCAATTTCCATCCTAAAGCATTACATTCATTTTCATATGACCACCGATTACCTTGGTACTTGTCCTCTGTACAATTAGCTCTTGGATAAAGACAATTATCATGTCTAAACTGTTCATCGATCTCATCAAGGTTAACATTATCGACATCAATCCGTATACGGTATTCTTTATTGTTGCCTTTAACCGAATATGTAAAAACAACCCATTGCACGCCCTCAAACTCCTCGATAATTGGATCTGTTGCTGGAAGGGCATGATTTGGATTTGGATTAGTGATAGGAACATCAGATCGTCGAGGTCGAGTAGATATTTCTGACGTTTGTTGCTTTGAGATAGTTTGTGTTTGAGGTGATATTTTTTGCTGCGGTTGGCTTGAGTGATTTTGTGTTTGTTGCACTGGCCGTTGCTGTGTACGATTCTGTTGGTGGTCGGGATTAGGCTGTTGATGAATTTGTTGATCTTGTACCTGAACTCTGTTATTGACATTTGATGAAACAAAAGATAAGGTGGTACTAGGGTTAACAGGTGAAGGCAGAGGATTTGGTGCTAACATTGGAGTTGTGTTCGTGTTCGGTACCGAATGCTCGACTCGTGCATGAGTAGCTGGATTATTACTAAGACCGCTGTTAGCGGTGCTATCATTAGTGTGTTTTTTTAATTCTTTAGTTTTTTTTTTTCTTTACTCGTTTTACAGTATTTTCAATTGACGTTAGCTGTTCGATAGACAAGGCACCCAAAAGCTCTTCAGTCCTCTGATCAGGTTCTAAAAGAGCAGAAATAGCTACTACAGACACCGGTTGGGTAGGATTAGGATGTTTGAAAGGCGTCTGCTGAATAGGAAACGTTGCTTGGTGAGAAAAAAGGTCTGGACCTTTAATGTTCTGCGATACAGACGTTGATGTGTTTGGTGAATTTTTTGTCACTGGTGTTGCAACAGTTTCCGATGCAGCAGTTGAAGCTCCAGCTGGTGGCACGCAAGCGGTAAGTTCTACGACGAACGGAGACCGCTGAGTGCTAAGTTGGGCATTAAGTTGAGAAGACGTAGCAATTACATGGTAAGTCGGATCGCGTGTCTGTGGAGTTAAAGGTGTTTGGACGTTTTGTGTAGAATTAACTTCCAACGAAATCGTGTTGGTTTGTGGGTTTTCGTGCTGGAGAGGTGACTGTTGCATCTTTGGAATATTAGTTATGAAAATTGTGCGAACGCAACAGGGGGTCCTATTTTTCAAGTTGCTGGTACCCCTGAGAGACTTAGAAGCTGTTAAAATGTAGACAAGATGTTTTGGCCGCCAATCGATGAATCAGATTTTCATATAATATGATTGGTTACCAATATTCTGTGTCCCTGATTTAGACAACAAGGGCTGCCAAATTCAATTTATACAATTTTGCATTTTCATTCATTTAGTTCAATATTTCATGCAGCTTTGCTTTTATTTCGTAATAAAACAAAATGTACCCTGCAAACTTAGGTACGTACGTACGTACGTACCAATTTCGATAGTGATGCCCCATGAAATCTTATTGCCTTGAATCCTAAAATATTCTGTCGCACCAAAACTTTAAACTTACCAAACTTCAGCCATCACGCAACGTGATAACAAATAACAAATTTGGTTGAAACCATATTAATTTAAAAACACACAATATTGCAGTCGCTTATAGACAGTTAAATTTAGTTAACTTTAATAAAATTAGTATTACCATGTTTAAGGGTAAAATTAATCTATA